TATGGAGCCCTGCCTTATTGGGCTCCACACTCAGCGGGGACTGTGCTTCTCTCCTTCTCCCTCTGCCCCTCCCCCCACTACATAGCGAGAGAGGGAACACAAGCAGGAGCAGAAGGAGAGGGAGAAGCAGGCTTCCCTCTGAGCAGGGAGCCTGATGCGGGGCTCGATCCCAGGACCCTGGGATCATGAACTGAGCCAAAGGCAAATGCTTAATGACTGAGCCACCCAGGCGCCCCTAAAATAAATAAATCTTAAATAAATAAATAAATGCTCAAATACTCCCCACACATATGGCATTCAGTTTTCTCAGGCCTTCATACAAATATATCCCTCTACTTGGGATACCCCTCACCCAACTGGAAAACTCCAACTTGTCCTTCATTGACTACTCCGCTTAAGGATCTCCTGTTCCAAGAAGCCCTTTTCTAGGTCCCCAACTCAGTCTGAGATAGATGTCCCTCCTCTGTACTCTCAGAGCACTAGTTTATACTTCCATTATGTTACCTAACAATTGCTTAATAGTTTTGCCTTTCTCCCCCATTGGACTATGCTCTCCTTGAAAACAATGTCTTTCACCTATCTCCTTAGCATACACAGCATTATGCCTAGCAAATACATATGGAAGAAATGCTCTAGAACGAATGAATGGCCAGACTTAACTCCAAATCCAAACCAGCTATGGGACCGCAGGCAAATCACTTACCATCTCTGAATCTCAGATTTTCTTTACAAAGTTTAATATCTCTTCTATTTACTTCACAGGATTGATGTGAGAATAAAGAACTTTTAATATCTCACTACAATTTTGCAGATGCTTTCAAAATAATAACCAGATTCCACTACAATAAAAACCATGATAACCAATCATAAAATCGCTCTAATTAAAGCTGCATTTACACTTACTAAATCCATTTTGGTTTTAAAACAATTGTAGTAAATTATTTTTCTTTGAAGTATCAGTTAACATATGTACTCTACAACATCTTATATTAGCACTACACACACTCACAAAGGACAATCTCTAACAGCTCAAGCAAGCCAGGAAAACAAAATAGGAAATTCAAGAAATTCAAGAAAATAAATAAAGCATTTTTCAGGTTTACTGTTCAAACAAATATGCTATTAATACTAAAAGAACACTACTTTTCCATTATGATGTCTCTAAAATTAAAACACATCCTACATTTTATATCTATTCACGCACACACACAAAATGGAAATAAACTTCCTTTACAATCCATCCACAAGGAGGTGAGTAAAGAAAGGCACAGGAAGATATGGATTACACAATTTCATTAGTGTAAAAATATACATTTTAAAAATGATATGTGCACTTCTTGAAGGCGGGGGCAGTTATGCAGCCTCAGAACAAGGTCCCTGTCACCCCTTGGTCCCAGCTGCGAGGGAATGACCATCTCTGTGAGGTTCAGACATGATTTTGTTAACCTTGGGGTCTACCAGCCCTATGTACACTCTATGTTGGATGTGTTTATAATCGTAAAATTGCTATCGGCATTGTAGACACTGTGTTACTTTTATGCTGGTCCTACTGATTTATAATTATCCACAAATAAATATTTACATGGTATAAAAAGAAACCAAACAAATGAAAAAATAAAAAATAAAAATGATATATGTATGCTCTTATATGACTAGAGATTTTTTTTAGATTTATTCATTTAAGAAAATGTGTATGCGCACGCATGCATACGCATACACACTCACACACCCACCCACACACACACACACACACACACACACACACACGGTGGGGGAGGGGGAAAGGGAGAGAATCTCAAGCCGACTCTGCCCTGAGCACGGAGACCAACTCAGGGCTCGATCATGACCTGAGCCGAAATCAAGAGTGGGATGCTTGGGGCGCCTGGGTGGCTCAGTTGGTTGGGCGACTGCCTTCGGCTCAGGTCATGATCCTGGAGTCCCTGGATCGAGTCCGGCATCGGGCTCCCTGCTTGGCAGGGAGTCTGCTTCTCCCTCTGACCCTCCCCCCTCTCATGTGCTCTCTCTCTCTCATTCTCTGTCTCAAATAAATAAATAAAATCTTTAAAAAAAAAAAAAAAAAGAGTGGGATGCTTAACCAACTGCGCCACCTAGGCGCCCCGCCTAGAGATTTTTAACATGTGTACTCAAGAAACCGTCATGTCTGAAAAGGCAATGGGACCTTAGGGAACTTTTACTTTCCCCTATACACCTTTCTGCACAACTTGAATTTCTTACTATTCAGAAAGGTATCTGCAAAATTTTTTAAGTTAAGGATATTTTATAGTATTCTCATTCATGTAAAAAAAAAAGAAAAACTATATAATGTGTATTATAAAAGCACAGGAAAAAAGGCATATTCAAACTTAATACAGACTGCTTAGGGAAGGGGGACTGAGAGTGGGGAAAGGAAGAAGAGGGAGATTCATTTTTTATTGTGTATTTGTGTGCTATACTTTAAAATATGTTCCAGTATTACTGCTATAATTTTAAATAACAGAAAATGTGTCTACAACACCAAATTTTCAGGTCTGTAATGTAATGTACTAAATTCATGCAGTCAGAGAGAAGACTCTCACTAATAAGAATGTTAGCACTAAAGTGTGGTCAACTTTACTTACTCTAGTATATATTTAATATACTCTCAAAAATGTAGGGTTAGGTATCTTAAGCAAAGCCAATAAATGGAATCTTTTTTGCAGAAGAAACGTTCAGGACCTATTTAAATAATTTTCCATCTGCACAATGCTTTCAGAATAGATAACTTCACTTGCACAGCTGCTAACCTACAGAAGTCCATCCTCATTCTAGTTTTTTCACCTTCAAATTTATTTTCTAGCAAGTAACCTCACTGTCTTGAATCAGAAGATTAAGCAGTATTTGCAAGCATCTACAGAAAATACTCCCTGTTACTACTTGAGGCAGGGGAAGAATCACTGTGTTGAGATCTATAAAATCAATAAATGTATTTTTCATTCTAAAGGTCTACTACACTATCTGGCAGTTTATCCAATAACCTAAATAGGACTGAATATAGATATTTACAATGAAGCAACTGCAATATCCAAAAACACATTTCAAAATTTCCCATCAAGCAATAAAGTGTAACATTTATGGTATTATAATATGTTGACTTTGAGAAGCAACATGGCTGAGTAAAAAATTTATTAAGTTCTGAAACAGGAGTCTGGTGATCTAGGTTCTGGATCACTCTTCTCACTAATTTGTTCTGTGACCTACCTTCGGCAAGTCACTTCTACCTCTTTGAACCTCAGTTTCCCCATCTGTAGAATGGAAGGGAGAATGCTTAGACTAGGTTCTTATTTTTCAGGTCTCTACTTCCTTAGAAATGCTGATAAAAGCTATAAACCCTATTACCAAAAATGTATGTTTGCACCAAAAAATCTGCTTACAATTTCCTTCTGATATCCATTGTGGACTAAGGCCTCTGTACTAAAAGATGTCTTGAGATTATTCTGCACACTAAAACTCTACACCAAATTTCATAAAAGAAATATATGGATACCAAATGGAAAAATTAAGCAAAATGATTGCGAAAGACATCATTAATTACTTTGAATCCCAAAACATATTAACAATTAAAATATATAGCAATTTCCTATAAACGAGATTTCCTCAGATGATGGGTAAGTGCTAAAATCATTCGTCCTTTTTAAAAAATATTCTAATGCTTAATAGTTGAAGATTTAACAATCTTAACTATCCCCAAATGAATTTATTTACTTGCTTTCTAGTCGCACTGCCCTTTAGGTTAAGAGCCACAAACTGGTAACACACAAATCTGAGTTGGTGTCCCCACTCTACAACTTTCCCTGTAAATTTGGATAAATTATCTAGCATTTACATGTTTCAGTCCCTTAGTCTATAAAATGAAAATGAAAGTAATAATTACCACCTCATAGTTAGTAAGAATTAAATAAGGTAGCATCTGGCATAGTGCCTCACACATAGTAAGCACTTAATGAATGTAAGCTGTTACTACTAATAATAAACTGGAATTCAGCTTTCATACCGAGAAATAATGCAGTAATTGTTACTCCTACCACACATTTGTGGTCCACATTTGTGACAAGTGGAAACTTCGAAAAACACATTTCCTATTTTTAATAACATTTTTTTTCAATACTATTCTCTGGAAAGATTAAAAAGTATGTAAATGGATATCTACACAACATATATAAGAGGTGGTGAGGTAGAGTAGAAAGAGACCCAGCTTTAGAGCCAGACAGATTTGAGTTCTGAACCTAAACCATCAACTTAGTAATTACGTAATCCGGGCCACTTAAACTCTCTCTCAACCTTGTAAAGCTGTTGCAAGGATTAATAAAGTATGTAAAACATCACACACAGTATCTGGATGTAGTATGCACTCAATAAACAATACTTATTGCTATTCTTCTCAGCTACTCCCTTACAGACAATAAAATCAGCTTTGCCAGGGAAGAGGGACGGTACTGGTACTGGCAAACACAAGTGCTAATTAGTGCAAGACACTAATTTTATCCTATCAATGTAAGAACTAAGGCAGTGTTTTCTGGGGTCACATACTCCTTCCAGAGTCTCAATAGGGTCCCTGGCTCCTAGAAATTTTTCAGGTATTTCAGGAAACACCAAGTCAGGGATTTTAAGAACCTCTATTAAGGAGAATACTAGCTAGTTTCTTCTGGACTTAACTTCGAAGAGTCTGAAAACTTTACTCAGTTTTCTGACAAAACGATTCACGTAGCTTTGCTCATAATGAAGCAAGTAAACCCTGCTTTTATTAGACTTCTAAATTTAGTTAGTTAAATTTCATGAGCTATCTCGTGTTGTGTGTGAAAACAAAACTTGGTAAGTGGAACTACAAACTATGCTAGAATTAGTTCAAATACTTTTAAACGTGATGCTCGAACATATAATCCAAGCACCGAAGGAAAAGGAAAGAAGTTAGTTAAATACATACATACATATACATATACATACATACATACATACATACATACATAAAACGAAGCTAGCTGGGCGCCTGGGTGGCTCAGACGGTTAAGCGTCTGCCTTCGGCTCAGGTCATGGTCCCAGAGTCCTGGGATCGAGTCCCGCATCGGGCTCCCTGCTCCTTGGGAGCCTGTTTCTCCCTCTGCTTCTCTCTCTCTCTCTCTGTCTCTCACGAATAAATAAATAAAATCTTAAAAACAAAAACAAAAACGAAGCTAGCTGTATTCGATTCTTAGAAAGGCTGGATCAATTCAAGCAATCAAACGAGCCTCTAACTTCCAAAAACAACAACAACAACAACAACAACAAATACAGTTTACTGAGTAACTGAATATAGTTTATCCTTACTTCTACTCTCTGCGTGCAATACTTTTTTTATCCTTTAACTCAGCCTTCTCAAACTCCCTGGGCAAATAACATACTCATCAAACTGATCACTGTATAGTGTTAAGAACGAAGTCAACGAGCACCTTAAATTCAGCTCTCCTTAATGCGCGACCCACAGGGAGCTTGGTACTTTAATTAAGTTTTGCCCCAATGACCTTGGTCCCAAAAATTCCCCTCCCTCCATCCTGCCGGTCCTTCCACGTGCTGGCGGCTGCGGTTACCCCAGAGGTGGCTGCAGGTCAGAGAAAGAGCTTGAGGACCCGCATGCTCGAAGGGAACAAGGGTTGCTCACAGCACCTGGGCTGGACCATCCCTTCCTTCCTTCCTGGCACCAACTCCCCAGCGGCGCACACACTGTCCCCCGACTAAAGCCCTGCGGGGATGACCCGGACCTCACTCCCCGCGCCTCGCTCTCGACCCAGTCTGCTGGGCAGGGCGTACGGTGAAGACGGTAGCACAGGAAACCCTCTTTCCTTCAGTACCATATTCCGTCGCCCGACCGGAGTGCCAGACACCTAGGGGAAGTGGACAGCCCCAGGAAGAGGGGGCAACGAAGGCAGAAGGAAAGTAGGATGGAGAATCCTGCGCCACGCCACCGCCACCTCCTCCACTTCCAGGGCTCCCTGGAGGCCTTTGCCGGTCGCCAGCTTAGCGAGCGGGAAGGCCTGGCACGGCAGAGCCAGCCAGAGGCCCGCAGATGCTGGGGTGCGGGGGTCGCGATGTACTCACCATCAGAACTTTGGCCGCGTTCTCCAGCTGAGCGATCACTTCTGGGGGCCCAAGCGCCGCCGCCATCATGGTCTCTCTTCAATGACGCGCCATGCGCTGCATTATGGGAGCGGGCGCCGCGGCCGGCCAATCGCCGCAGCGACCCCGGAGCCTCACGCGCTCCCAGAGGCCGTCGCAGCCGCCGTCGACGCTGGCGTCGCGGGCCCCGCGGGCCTGGTTTGGCCGCCGGGTTCTGGGCGGCGGGAAGGAGAAGAAAGTGAGTCAGGCCTCCTCGTTGGGGCGGGAGGCGCCTGCAGTGCGGCGCCGCGCAAGATCCGGGCGGTTGACCCAGAAGGTGACTGCCGCGGCTACGGGCCCGCGCATGCGTGCTGTCCGGCACCTGAGCCTCTCGGCTTCTTCGGCCCTTGTGCCCACGAGCCGCTGGGTTCTCTCCACGGTGAACACACCCCACACCATCACCAGGCATTACCCGAGACGCCGGCAAGCTCTCTGGTCTCTACTCTTCACTCCGTCCATCCCGACCTCTCCTTTTCCTTCCACGCTCCACGCAGTGTAGGATCTCACTTGGAACTGGTCTCCCCACTTCCTCTCCTGGGAGTGCGCCGCCTTTCAGAACATCTCTGTCCTCGGAGTCCTAATTCTCTGTCCCTCCTTGCCAAAAAAAAAAGGGGGGGGGGGCATTCCAGGATAGAAAGGTTCGTTTTCTTAATGGGAGGTCCTGTAGGAGATTCCTCCAAATTTATTTGGACAGCAGATCATTGAGAGCTCTTTTCAAGGGCTGTGTGTCATACTGGAAAGTGAAAAAGCAGGAATCCTAACCTTGACTACCCTGCTTCTTGGATTCAGAAAGAACTCATTGTCACCCGTTTTGTCGGGTTTAAGGAAGTCATAATAGCAATGTTAGTTATGGAATTCATGTTGACAGGTACTTTATAAAGTAATTCAACTTTCCCTCCAGTGCTTCAGTCTCCTTTACAACCTCCAGGCAAGTAGTCCTGAGAGCAGCTATTTCAGTATTCAAACCAGCTTTAAGTATTAGAAAAGTTGTTCGAAAGAGAGGGTTATTTTGTTTTTGAGCTGACATCTACTTTCCTATGACTTCGACCTTTTGGTGCTGGTCTGATTCCTGGGACTGTGCAGAAAGTCAAATTCATTTCAGTGTTTGTAAGTTTTCCTCTGTTGAAATCTTCCTGTATTTATTCTTCCTAGTTATAAGTAAACCGTACTTTTGAGATTTTTTTTTTAAAGATTTTATTTATTTATTTGAGAAAGAGTAAGAGAGCATGAGTGAGGGGCAGAGCAGGGAGCCCCATGCAGCTCCATCCCAGAACCCAGGGATCATGACCTGAGCCAAAGGCAGATGGCAGAGGCTTAACCAACTGAGCCACCCAGGCACCCCAGGGTGTTTTTTTTGTTTTGTTTTTAATGTCACTGCAACAGAATTGCATTATTTTCTCCACTGGAAAACAGGTTGTAAACAAACAACACGTTTCTTGTATTTGATATCTCTACAACTTGGGAGTTGAGAAAGTGAATTAGTGAGGTTTTTATTGCTTGAGAAACAAAGGAAGTGCTTTTTATTTCATTATAAAAGGGCAAAGTTAACCAAAATGCAGTGAATGGCCTTTTTTATTTTAAGAATTATGTGAAACTAAATGATTAACATAGTGCATGACATATAGTAGGCACTCAATAAATATAGCAATCCAAAAAAAGATTACAAGATGTTGCTGTTACGAAGAGTCATTACTGCAGATCAGTGATGTATCCGCAAAAGTGTAGGCAAATGAATAGTTTGTGATATTAAATGTTTGAGGCCTATAATGCTTCAGATTGGGCCTTGTGTTCCAAAGCATTTGTTTTGTGTAATTACATAAGAACTTTGCATCTAGATACTTTTTAAAAGGAGGGGGAAAAAGTATTTTATCAAATGTGGAGATGAGTAAGCTTTTCAAGTTATTATATTGAATTTAGAGGCTTTATAAAGTGGGTTATAGACAACTCATATTACTGGGAGCCATGAATTTTAGGGTGGGGTAAACAATGAAGTTGTAGAATCTCAACGTTGGAAAACAGTAGAATTTACCTACTAGTTTAACCTCCCCTCCGATGCCTGACTCTTGTTATTTCTTGATTTATCCAATAATAATGCTCTCCTACAGAGGGTTAAGAAGTAGTATTCCAGCCTACCCACATGCTTTTTCTATCCTGAAATAGAAAAGGAGAAGGAAGTTGTGCAGATTCCAATAATTTCTAAGAGAGAAATGTTAATGGTCTGAGAAGAAGTAGATGTCTGGTTGAAATGTTCCTGAAATCAAGAACATTTCACAAATACATTCCCTCTACTTTTAGAGTACTCCATTAACACGTATGATGTCATGGGAGTCTTTTATCCCTACTTATTCTTTACCAAAACTAATTAGTAAAGTATATTACATACTTTTCCTTAGAAACATCAGTGTTTGGTGTTTGTTTGTTTGTTTTTTTAATGGAAACCAGTGGGATTTGCCAATGTTACTAAATGTTGTGTCTTTCCTAAATTAGTGGCTTTCTAGGAACATTTCTAAAGTGAAAATATGGTTACTGACTATCTCCATTGTTGACATTTTGGTGCAAAGGAAAAGCCAACTGTTGTGGTATTTTATTTTATTTTTTAATTTTTATTTATTTATTTGACAGGGAGAGTGAGAGAGCACAGCAGGGGGGCAGCAGGAGGAGAGGGAGAAGCAGGCTCCCCGCCAAGCAGGGACCCTGATGCGGGGCTCCATCCCAGGACCCTGGGATCATGACCTGAGCTGAAGGCAGACTCCCAGCCTTCTGAGCCACCCAGGCGCCCCTGTTGTGGTATTTTAAACAATATTTTATTTTATTTTATTTTATTATTATTTTTTTAAGATTTTATTTATTTATTCATGAGAGACAGAGAGAGAGAGGGGCAGAGGGAGAAGCAGGCTCCCAAGGAGCAGGGAGCCCGATATGGGACTTGATCCCAGGACCCTGGGATCATGACCTGCGCCGAAGGCAGACACTTAACCATCTGAGCCACCCAGGTGCCCCAACAATATTTTAATGATATCATTTAAATGATATTTTAAAACTAGAAGAGAATTTAGAGATAATAGAATCTTAAGATTTGGAAATGAAAATCCTTTAATGATCCATTTCTCAGATGAAGAAAATAAGACCCAGAGAAATTAAATGATTTAGGGGGCGCCTGGGTGGCTCAGTTGGTTAAACGACTGCCTTTGGCTCAGGTCATGATCCTGGAGTCCCAGGATCGAGTCCCGCATCGGGCTCCCTGCTCGACAGGGAGTCTGCTTCTCCCTCTGACCCTCCTCCCTCTCATGCTCTCTGTCTCTCATTCTCTCTGTCTCAAATAAATAAATAAAATCTTTTTTTTTTTTTAATTTTATTTATTTATTCATGAGAGACAGAGAGAGAGGCAGAGGGAGAAGCAGGCTCCCAAGGAGCAGGGAGCCCGATGTGGGACTCGATCCCAGGACCCTGAGATCATGACCTGAGCCGAAGGCAGACGCTTAACCATCTGAGCCACCCAGGCGCCCTAAATAAAATCTTTAAAAAAAAAAAAAAAAAGAAATTAAATGATTTAGGACCAAACCAGGTAGAACCAGTCACCTGTCGTACAGTTTAGTATCTTTGGTGACATGGACAAAGACTGGAATTTAAATCAGAAGAATTGAGTTTGTATTATATCTCTGCTTCTTCTAAGATATGTTTACTGGCTAAGTAACTTAACATTTCAGGACCTCAGTTTGATCATCTGTAAAATGTTGACCATCACAAGTGTGTGAGATTCAAAGATAATACATTTGAGACGACTTTGTAAAGCTATGAAGCATTCTGTGAATGCAAGATATTACTGTTATGAATTGATTACTTATTTGGCACAATGGTTGATACTGTAGGACAATTGAAATTCCAAACAATTGGAGGATACTACAACATGGTGGTTAATGTTTACACACAATTACTACATAAAGGACACTAAGCTGTTTTCTTTTTTATTTTAGCTGTTTTCATCTGTTAACTCATTCAATCTTCCCAATAACTCTGTGATGTAATAATTATGCTATTATTGTCACAAATTTTGTGTGAGGAAATTGAGGCTTATAGCAGCTTAGTTACTTGCCTCAGAAATAGTAGAACTGGGATTTTAGCCCAGCCTTCCTAGCCCAATACTCCATGCTTTCAACTCTAGGATTCTGCTTCCAGGTAAAGACTAAGTCACTTGGAATTATTATAGCTTAAGTAGATACATTTCAAGCTATCATGTCAACTTTTTCAGTTTTGTATACTGTAAAGACTGGATTAAAAATCTGTGCCATACTTGAAATATGTAACAAGTAAAGAAAACTGCCAGAGAAGTAAAGCAAAACTGCCTATAGAAAGTCTGAAGCTTTTCCTTTTTAAGAAAGCTTATTTTAGTTCAATATTTGTAAATCAATCAACGTGATACACCACATTAATAAAAGAAAGGATAAGAATCATTTGATCCTCTCAATAGATGCAGAAAAAGCATTTGACAAAATACAGTATCCATTCTTGATAAAAATCCTCAACAAGGGCACCTGGGTGGCTCAGTTGGTTGGGCGACTGCCTTCGGCTCAGGTCATGATCCTGGAGTCCCAGGATCGAGTCCCACATTGGACTCCCTGCTCAGCGGGGAGTCTGCTTCTCCCTCTGACCCTCCCCTATCTCATGCTCTCTCTCTCTTTCTCCCAAATAAATAAATAAAATCTTTAAAAAAAAAAATCCTCAACAAAATAGGTATAGGTGGAACACACCTCAACATCATAAAGGAGATATATGAAAGACCCACAGTTAATATCATCTTCAATGGGAAAAATCTCTTCAGTCGGGAATAAGACAGGGATGTCCACTCTCACCATTACTATTTAACATAGTACTGGAAGTCCTAGCCTCAGCAATCAGACAACAAAAAGAAATAAAAGGCATCCAGATCAGCAAGGAAGAAGTCAAACTTTCACTATTTCCTGATGACATAATACTCTGTAGAAAACCTGAAAGACTCCACAAAAAAAAAAAATCGCTAGAACTGATACATGAATTCAGCAAAGTTGGAGGATATGAAATCAATGTACAGCAATCTGTTGCATTTCTACACACCAATAATGAAGCAGCAGAAAAAGAAATCAAGGAATCAATCCCATTTACAACTGTACCAAAAAACATAAGATACCTAGGAGTAAATGTAACCAAAGAGGCAAAAGATCTGTACTCTGAAAACTATAGAATACTTATGAAAGAAATTGTAGAGGACACAAAGAAATGGAAAAACATTCCATGCTCACAGATGGGAAGAACAATGTCTAAATGTCTAAACAATGTTAAAATGTCTATACTACCCAAAGCAATCTCCACATTTAAAGCAATCCCTATAAAAATACCACCAGCATTTTTCACAGTTAGAACAAATAATCCTAAAATTTGTATGGAACCACAGAAGACACTAAATAGCCAAAGAAACCCTGAAAATGAAAAGCAGAGCTG